AAGATGCCATATATCATCTGGTCTAGACTGTGGGCTTCAGTGGAGCTGAGTAGGTGGGCCCTGGAGACACCGTGGGACTGAGTAGCAGAGAGAGGCCCCCGGGAAGGATTTGAGAGCCTGCAGGGTTTGGGAAGACTTTAGAAGTTAGCCTTTTGTGTAGGTGGTGGGATAACAGAGTGTTCTAAAGCAGGGGTTTCCAGTGTTTTTATTGCAACTCTCCAGGAAGAGGTCATCGACATCATAACATTATAATATGCACATATGTACACCTGACAAACATTTCATAAAGTCATCAGTCTTATTCAACCTGTTGTACCTAATGTTTTCTATTTATTTTTGTTTCACTTTTAATATGTTAGAATAACTCAATAATAGATTGAAAACTCCTAAAGTGACCAGTATGGAACCTGTCCTAAGGCAAATTAGAGGAGATTTTCACAGGGAGTGATGACAGGTGACATTGTCAGTGTATGGCAGTCTTTAGAAGACTTTCTTGATTCTGTAATAAGAATGGATTACTTTGGAATGTCAGGGCAAATTTTCGAACCTTATCTCTTCATCCAACTGGTCCTACTTTTTTGGCTGTGGATTGACCAAAATGACTTGATAGGGTTTCTTCTGATGCTTGATTTTAGTACTGTGCTTCTTGGCAGAAGGATGAGGGCTGAGGGATAGAGGTGGGGACGAGGAATTTGCTTCTAAATTCCTGAGTGACATCCAGAGTGCTTCTCCACCATGCCTCATGTCCCTAGGTGAGGGGATGTGGTTATGGCATGTAACACTGTACGGAGAGATTGGCAAGCAGGATGAAGATGATAGATATAGCTTTCATCCAAGTCTAGAAGAAAGTGGTAGTAGCCTTCCCTCTTTGCTCTAAGCTCTTCTTCTGCTCAAACTCTGCCATATGCAAACATCCATCCATGTCCCTCTTCTGCTCATGAGCCCAGTGTTTATAGGTTGAAGGGCTTTGTTGATTATTCACTATTTACTTGTGGAAAATCATCTCTTTGCTACATCTGTTCTAAGAAAAAAGTAGTTTCTAGGCTGCTTACAGGAGATACGCTAGATCAGAGACAGTTCAGACTATTAACTTTATCCTCCAAAATCTATGGGAAGGGGTCCTTTCCTGCCATGTTGTATAGAAATTAAACTCTCGAGGGGATCCACATGGAGCTGATTTAGGGAACCCCTGTCATTGGATTTTTTTTCCTCTGAAGAATAGATGAAGCGCCTTAGCAACAACAAAAAGGAAATTCCTTTCATGCGGCCTTTACTTTGCTTATGCGCTTTCAGTCCTGCCCATTAGGATTTCACATTCTTCTCATCTGCTCAAGCCAGTTTTAATTTAGTCAGTTTAGGTTAGGGAAAGATTTTATAGAACCGTACTTTTCCCTTTTAGGATAATAGAACTAGAAATCATTGGTCCTAAATGTGCTTCAATAAACTTTTTTTCTTGTTTATAAGATACACTCTGGGAGAAATCAACTGCAATCTGTTTTTTAGTGTTTGCTACAGTTAAGTAAAGCTTCCTAGACTGCTAATGAGTGCTGGTGCCTGGGCCGTGAACTTCTGTGTTCCGTTCGGTCAGAAGGAAGCCTGGTTAGTAATGAAGTTAATGCCTAATGTCTCGTTTGTGAGTAGACTGATTTAGGAGTAGCCGTGTGGATGATGGTGGCCCAGACCCATCCTTATTCTGATTAAAAGTATGAAGTATTCATGCAGAGCTGTATTGTCTATGTAATAGTTACTAGCAATTCCTCCAGTTTTGAAGACTTCAGTTCCTCAGTCGCTCTAACCACATTTCTGTTGTGCAGGGGCTACATATGGCTGCTACAGTGCTGGCATGTGGGCCAGGCTGTGGTTTATTGGAGGAGGGGAGGTGGTGCCTTGCACATTGCAGGATTGGCACACCAATGGCCTTCAGGTACTGATACCAAAGGAACTCCTAGTGATGACTGTCACCTTGGCATATACCCAAAGGACTCATCCTATTGTAGAGACACTTGTACAACCATGTTTGTTGCTGCTCTTTTCACAATAGCTAAGAGATGGAAGCAACCTAAGTGCCCCTCAACTGACGAGTGGTTAACAAAAATGTGGTATATTTACACAATGGAGTTCTATTCGGCAGTAAAGAAAGATGCAGTAATGAAATTTTCATGTAAATGGATGGACCTAGAAACTGTTATACTAAGTGAAGTAACACAGACTCAGAAAAACAAACGACATATGTTCTCCCTCATATGTGGCTCCTAGCACCAAATCCTTTTAAATTCCAGATCCTTTTAATAAGATAATGCTATACAGCAGTCCCTACTGCATGAAATAACTACCATCATCATGACTTCTGCTGAGCCCGATCGCTAACATAGTCACAATTGGGCTTGTTGATGGTTGTGCGCATTCATTAAAGGAGTGCCAAGCAGAGTCATTGGACCCTCACCTGAGTATCCGACCACTCTTCCCAGCCAACTAGTCCAGCCTTGGAAGACAAAAGAAAAATGAGGAAGAACCCTGTAGAGGGATGCTTTTCCATCTCACCTTCAAGGACAGGCATGACCTTAAGGTAAAAGGATTCAAGGACTTTCTTTTCCACTTAGAGATAAGAGTTATGCAATTTGGGAGTCTTTTAGATAGACCCACTGAAGGATACTCCAATTGCCTCACCTGTGTCCCTGTTCATGGAAGAAGCCAGAGAGGTTGGTGTCCGTATCCCCTATTGGCAATTTGGGTAACCTCTTCAGAGGATGGCGTGATAAGAATAGGATGTAGGAATTGTCTAGGCAGTTAGGGTAAAAAGATCCCAAAGAAAAGCAGCCAGTTTCTTGGCTAAAAGTCAAAATGTCCTTGGGCCTCTTAGCAACATACTCTGTTCCAAGATCAAAAATGTCAAAAGTATTTGGGAACTTGTATCTAATCCTAAAAGATTTTAGGGTTACCTCTTCAGAGTGGGGGAAATGTTGGAGGGGAGGGAATGGGCATGGATTTGATCAAAACACCTTATATGCATGTATGAAATTCTCAATAAAGTTTTTGTAAAAAAAAAAAAAAATGTCTCCAACAGTTACCAGATGTCTTCAGGGGTTAAAAGCTCCCCAGTTGAGAATTAGTGGCCTGTAGCTATAGTATATAGAACATTTACCTTATCACAGGTGTTACTGTTCCAGAAAACTCCCTAGCAAATTTTGGTTTGTAGCTTTTATAAGAGTAAGGATTTTGAGCTTTAGAGCAATCACAATGGGCATCCTGTGCACAGTCTTGGGAAACTGAGGCACAAAGCAGCTATGGGTGATGTAAGACAACATAGTATATAAAGTCTAGAATGCTGGACTTCAAGTTCATATAGCCTGAAGGTGAGCTACTGCTGATTTTACTTTAAACTTACTATTTTTACTGAGGTTTTATTTGTCTGCTTGTTTTTTCTTGCCTTGAGAAAGAGTTACTGTGTAGAGCAGACTGACCTCAAACTCAAAGAACTGCCACTTTCCAGGTGCTGGAATTATAGTTGTGCACCACCAGGTCCAGCTCCAACTGTGTTCTTGCCTTCAGTGATGACCACGGAGGAGGAGGGAGTCCTGAGAAATTGAAGCCTTCCAGTCTGGAGAGTCAGATGTAGATGCAGATTCTGGTACACTTAGCCATTGCCTGTGGATTCCTTTATAGTCCTGTGTCTAGGCTAGGATCCCAAGGTGACTGAGATGTCTGATGGCCTCACCTTTGCTCCCTGAGAGGGCAGCATCCTAGTGAGTCTCCTAGTTCCATCAGTACAGAGCTGGTAGACACACTCCTGGGGCTACAGGAAATGGGCATCGTGTAAATCTCCCACTTTTAAGCTTTTCAGTCTTCACTCTCTCCTCTGTTTGCTTCCTTGTAGTGACTTGTAGTAAAGCCTTTAAATGCTTGTGAGTTCTAAATCTTCAGAAGTCACAAGGAAGTGGAAAGGAGCTGCCCCCAGAAGCCCTGGGGACCTGTCTTAAGAATGCTTTGGGGAAGAGGACGTGTTTCTCTCAGAGTGGTGATGTCAGCATGCCTAAGGAGCAAGAAGTAGGCTTAGTTAGCTCAGGGCCTGCTGCAGGAGAGGGGTGGAGGGCAGGCTGGGCTGTGACGGCCCCCAGGAGCTTTGATGTGCCTAGCATCTTTTCTCCTTCCTCCCTTGTTAGTCTCATGTTTTACGCACCGTCCAATCCCTCCGTCCTGATTGTGTTCTAGTTCTGCACTTCAGTGACTCACTTCCCACACTGGAACTTCTTAGTTTTGTACTCAAGTCTCCTTTGCTCTCATACAGACATCATCTGTTTTCCTTCTAAAAAGTAAAGACTGGCTTTGTGCACATGAAAGCTTTATTGTTACTGTGGTTTGCAGAATTATTCTGTGTGGGATTAGAACTGACGGCTGTTGAGGTTTTTTGCAAAGCTGTTTGACATGCAATAGATTGTTCAGAACAACTTTTGTCACTTTATTGAGTTGATAGCCTGGATGACTACTTAAAATCAGTATACAGCTCAAAAATAAAATAAAATAAAATAAAATAAAAACCCCTAGTAAATAGCCCAGAAAGACTAGCCATAAAAGCAGATGTTGAATTGCTTGTGTTTAAACCCTTGAACTGTTGGCCAATTTGGTTCAGTAACACAGTGCACTTGAGTGAACTGTGGACTGGGTCAAAGGCCGACATTCTCAGGCGCCAGCTGTCAAGTTTAGCTAGAAATTAGCTAATGAGTAAACTAATCTGGAGGTCTTTTTAAATTGTTCCATCTTCGCAAAGATAGCTAAAGGGAGTAGCCTTATCTCAGTTTGCTGATGGTTGATATTTTAGTAAACTATTGATGTTTTCTTTGGGGAAAACCACCTTCTTGGGTGTCCCCATGGTGAAGAGGAAGGCATTTCTAAAGCTGCTTATTAGAAGCAGGATTTTATTTGGGCTAGGAACATTGAGGTCCTGCCAGTGAGCATGGCTATAGCTGATGTTCACTGCTCTGTCTCTTCCCTTTGCTCCACAGACCAATGAATGGAACAAGAATGATGACCGACTGCTGCAGGCTGTGGAGAACGGAGATGCCGAAAAAGTGCTGTCCCTGCTGGGCAAGAAGGGGGCCAGTGCCACCAAGCACGACAGCGAGGGCAAGACAGCGTAAGCGAAATCCACAACTGGATTCCACAGTTGCTTGTGTAGGGCTGGGATGCAGTTCACTGGTAGGATGCTTGCAAAGCATACCCTAGGCCCTGGGTTACATCTCCAACACTGTAAGAAAACAAAACCCAAAACTTCCCATTGGCTCATTCAGGGTTTTTCCAGCACATTCTCTGGAACATCTAGTATCCAAGGGGAGTTTCATCAGTGCTTTGGGGAACTTGGTAAAATTATTGTTGACCCTTTTCTAATCCCATGCTAAAACATGTATAGGGTGTTTTAGTCTGGTTTCTATCCCTTCCAACTCCAAATTATATATTGAACTTTCCCAAGTGGCTCTGCTTGTTCCTCAAAATAACCAAGTATTACACCAGAGGAAAAATAGCACCAGGAGTGCAACCAGTTGGTAGATGGAAAAAAAATTCTCTGCTGGATAAGAAACAACATAACTCTCAAACCTTCTGACCTATAATTTTTGTAAAACCACTCTTTAACATAGGTAGGTAATTACATGAGCACTGCAATATGATTTTGCTTTACATGTACATCAAATTCCTGCTTACCATGATTAAAACTATGTGTTTGAGTACTGTGTGTGCATACGTGTGTGTGTGTGTGTGTGCACACGCATGTGTGTTCTGGAGTCACAGCCATCCTTACTCTAGTATTTGTATTGAGATCAGTGGCTTTTGTAACCAAATATAGTTCTCATGTGAACCCCATGGGCTTATAATTCCTTGAAAATCAATTTCTTCACAGTGAAGGCAAGATGATGTTCAATTGCTATAATACTTCTGCATATAAAGCAAGGTTTAGGTAGGTGTCTTCAGAAACAGCTGTGAGATAAGGATTTGTGTGCTAGTAGTGTCTATCACCAGATATCCTAGGCAGCATGGGAAAGAAAGAAACCTGGGTATAGGGTTGTTATTGACAGGCTCCTCCTGTGGGTGACTGGGATGCGTTCCTGGGGGTGACTTCTGGGAATCTCCCTAGACTTACAGCAGAGCTGGCAAACTCTGTCCTACTCTCTGTTTCACTGAAGGCTACCTCCATGCTATAAAACGAATTAGAGACCATATGTTTCTCAGAGCCCCAGATACTTACTACCTGGTCCTTTACCTAAAAATTTTACCTACTTTAAGTTTAGGTAAGACAAATGAGTGTCTGCACCAGATTTCCTGTTCCTCAGAGATGGAGTCTCTTGGGACTATACTATTCTTACAGTTTGTAGAGAGTATGGGGCACCCATGATTGTAGGTACTGGTTGGAAAGAACTAGCACAGTTCCCAACACACAGTAGGCCCTTGATAAACGGGTTCCCTTCCCTACCTTTCCCTTCCCTTCATATCTCAGACTAGTGATTCACAGTCCTGGGAGCTTCTGTATTAGAATCACCTAAGATGCTTTAAAAAGATAGAATACCATGGCGATGTGTAAATCATCAAGATGTTGTGAATCATTCAGCCTAGAGGAAGCCTCGGAGTCAATTTTCTTTTGTGCTGAGATTTCTGGTGACGGAGAGTTGGCTTTTGTGCTACTCTCTCTACTGCTGTGCCGCCTTCTTTGCAGCTACTGCCTCCAGTCCAGGCATCTGCATAAAACAGCCTTTCACAGGCATCCCAGGGGAAGGCCTGCAAGGTAAGTGTTTATGACAGTTTTGTCCAAGATAATACTCATGAAAAGAAATCTTAGATTAGCAACTTAGCCACAGTTGTCAACTCTTTAAAAAATTTGTTCCTTTGGTTCATATTTATTATATGTAGAATAGGTGTCTAAGATGACTATTCTCTGTTATCTTTTTTCTATTATAGTAAAAGACACATCACATAAGACTGAGCATTACAATGGTTTTAAAGTATACAATTCAGTGGCATTGAGTACATTTGCAGTGTGGTACCTCATCACTGTCCAGTTTAGAGCATTTTTATCACTCCAGAAGGAAACTCTATATCCACTAGGCCGTCACCTCCTAACCTCTCCCAGTCCTCTCCCAGTGACTGTTAATTTGTTTGCAGTCTCTCTGGATTTGTCCCTTCTGAGTATTTCATGTAAATGAGTCATGTATGTGGCCTCTTTCACTTAGCGTGCTCTCTGGATCCCTCCATGCTTTGGTACACGTCAGTGCTCATTCTATTTCTTTTAATGGTAGCAACGTGCACAGCAATCACACAGATTTCCTCATCTCCATTTTACAGATGATAAAACCAAGGCCTCTGTCTCCTTCCTAACTCTCCAAGGCTCTCATACCTCTGGAAATCAACTCTCGTTTTTCCTTAATGATACATGTGTGGAAAGTTAGACAAACTAATGAAAAAGGAAGGGAGGAGGTAATTCTTTTTCCAGTACAGGATTTTTCCATAAGTGATTATCTGTCAGCATTTCATTTTCCTGCTTGGGATATTTCTTTTTGAGTTCTAATGTTATTAAGTGGTAACTGTAAGAATTTAATTTTAAAGGCACCGCAAAATTAAATCTTAGCTGATTTTATATTTCCATTCTAACCCAGTGGTTGGAATATTCATGTTGAGGTGGTCCTGTGAGATTAGAAGCATCTTCTTTATCCCTTTATCATCATAATTAAGCAAAATCAAGGACCCTGTTTGTAAAATTAACTCTATGTGGCATCATTGGTTGGCCTTAACCTCACCTGAAGAAGTCTGCCCTTCTATACTGAGGTTCCTTGTGATTTTTATGTCCCTGGAGAATTTTTGGCTGTGCTTGTTCTTTCCAGATGAATTTGGTTGGGTAACATGTGAACTGGCAATGAATGTCCTAGGAGCAGCTTTGAGTCTATGACAGACCACTGCCGGCCTGGAGTCCCTCAGCTGCAGTTCTTGCAAGGCTGGACCAGCGCAGTGGAGCTTGCAAAGATGATCAGTGTTCATTTGTGAACATGTAAGAAATGTTTTGTGCTTCTCTCTGAAAGGTATGACCACATTGTGCACATGAAAATTTGGCCCTTGACCATGTTTGACCTTATTTTCTGTAGGTCTTTAAATTATCTTTCCTTTTACATGATTGTATAGCAAAATTAGTCCACAGGACTGTTTTCTAGAGAGCATTTGTGATAATCCATTTTTACCTGAGTGTACAGTCTTGATTTGGCATTCAGGGTCATTTCCCTGGTCATGCCCTTATCTAAATGTTCTCTCCTAAATGCCTACCTCTCCTGCACACTCTTGCCTTCCCTTAGGTATAAATGTCCATGGTCCTGCCCAGGTTCTGGATCCAGTTATATTCCACAGTACTGAGAGAGCAGGAACAATAGAAATACTTCCACTTAAGATAAGTCTTGTTCCCAAAGGACCTAAATCTCATACAGCATGTGAGCAAGAGGATAAGAGTCGTACCATTTTCATTGGGTTGGCTTTTCCCTATGCTCTAGAAACAAAAGAGCCATTTAGTTGGTGCACTATATGGTTGTTAGGGAGAAAACCTACTGTTCTGCTGATAATACTTCAAAGATAAATTACCTACAGTGAACCTACTTGAGATTCAGGGAAAATAATTATGGTGAACATTACAACCAACCCCCCAGCTTCCAAGGCAACTTCAGTAAAAAGCACTCAGTTTGTGCTGCCCAGAGGCCCAGACAGGCTAGAAGACCCAAGAATGTGGTGGCCAAAGCAGCTATTGCTCATTCTCCAGAAGCCTCCATTGCCCAAGGTCAGTGACCAGATGGGTGACTTGGTAATTCCTTAGACCTTTCATTTTCTTTCTGAAAATATCCCGTCATGGCAAGAGGAGAAATTATGTCAGACATTTTTTCTCCTTTACACTGATCAGAGAGGGGTTAAAAAAAAAAAAAAAAGGGTAAGAGCAGTTAAATGACTGGAATTCATTTAGCAAAGAGTAAAAGAAGGGTGGTGCCTTGGTCAGAGGAGAACAGAATAGAGAAGGGCAGAAAGTTATAGCTCCAGGCTGTGTTTATGGAGTCAGGCTTGGCTCTCCTCTGTCCCATCTGGTCTCTTTCCATGGGGGATGTGAGGAAGTGGGAGGATGTCAGTGCTCTGAAACCTTACCGTAGAAGAGTCTAATTGTTTCAAGATGGTTTCCCCTGTGCTAGATGTGCCTTTAATTAAAGTTATGTGTGTTTGTCTTAGGAACAACCAGACTAAATAAAATAGCTGCTGGGAGCATAGTATTTGAACAAATACTCACCAGGGCATGTGTGTATAGACTGTAAGGTGGTAGGGGGCAGGGAGGGAGGGAGGGAGGGAGGGAGAGAGAGAGAGAGAGAGAGAGAGAGAGAGAGAGAGGAGAGAGGAGAGAGGGGAGAGATGGGGAGACAGAGAGAGACAGGAGAGGTGAGAGGGGAGACAGAGAGAGACAGACCCATGTAGTCCACATTTCAGATACCTGATCTTTTTGACCTGGAAAGAAAGAACATGTGAATGTATTTTTAGATGACTGTTGAATTTAGTGACGGGGTAGCCCTTTAACTCCAAGTCAGTACGGTGAGAGACTTCTCTGACTGGTGACTTTCTGTACTTTCTTTCTACTTTCTAAATAGGGATGTGTTAGATAATTTATACCAGCAGTTCAGTCTTAGAAATCAGGTTATACAATGTGAACAGCTTTCTCTAGTTCTCACAAATCACCTCTGAATTATTTAACTGAAACCATTATGAACTCTGTGTGTGTGTGTGTGTGTATGTGTATGTGTGTGTGATTGCAGCCTCTGCCCCTCCCCACAATGCATCTTAAATCTTCTCTATAAATGGACATGTACTTGGTCTGTGGGTCTGAGTGTTTGTTTCTTGAAACTGCTCTGGAAATTGGAGTGCAGATTGTGACACTCACCAGAATAGTTCTTTACCCTCTGAGTCTCTTGGCTTTCTGTCGGTACTTGACCATGTTGTTATACCCACTCTACTTTGGGTCACATCAGTTTTTGAAGGTGATGGAACCTCTGTTCATACCCTGAATATATGCCTTAATGTTTGTGCTTTATGAATCTACCAGTTGGCAGGTGCTCCTTCCGCCCCAAATGTTCCACA